CTCTGACCTTGTTCCATGCACGTGGTCCTGAATGGACTGGGTCCCTGCTGGCTTCCTCCCAGGCGTAGTGTACAGGTACACATCTCTCCCCAGAGGACCCATCTGTCCTGCAGGAGGGAGCAAGCTAGGACAAGATGGGATCACAGATGGTGACTGTGCCAGTTTCTGCAATGTCACCCGAGGAATCTGCCTGGTCATCCCGGGTGCTGCCACCAGGTGGCGACAGTCATCTGATTCCCTCTGCCTTGGGAGCCTAGGTGTTGAAGGTTCCCCATACCCACAAACCCATCCGAGAAAGGCTTCCAATTTTTCAAAACAACTTTATTAACAAACAGAGGAAGATACAAAATAAACCACCAAAAGAATTCACAGCACAGACACTAGATCCCCCTGGCCACCCAGAGAAATGGGCTGGGCTGACACTATGCAGGGGACTAGGGTCCTGTTTCCTTGTTCTCAACTCAGCCTTTCTTGGTCACTAAATCAACCAGCTTACACTTTCTCTGGAGACACCTCGGGCTGCCTCTCCCAAGCCCCCCAATCCCACTTTCTAAATGGCCTTTCCACACAGGCCTTTCTCCTCCTGGTCCCAAGATTCCTCACCCAGCACCTTAGGTGAGGCCTTACCCGACCTCTCTGTGCTTTCTTCACCCTTCCAGTCCTAGGAGTCTGTGATCCCCAGATGATCTATTTTTCTTCCCGTCATGACGCATGTAATTAAACTATGTTTGTGAGCCAGCTGGGTGGGCTGGTTCTGCTCCCTTGGATCAAATTACCTATCTTCCCAAGCTTGCATCTGAACTTGGTTTCTCTCCTGCTATGAACAACTTCTTGGGTGCTCTCTCTGCCGGTGCAAGACTGTGTGCTCCCCAATACAGAAGTCTGCACCCCTCACCCGGGACCCACTTATTTCACAGAACAGCTCAAGTTCTCCGCTTTTCTGCCAAGAAGAGCTGGTCAAACACCTTGACCTTGCCACCCGTGGATCAAACCCTGCCCATCTCAGGTCCCCAACATCACGGATTTCCTCTGAAAGATTCTCACTTCTCTCTTGGTCTTCTTCTCCTTTGGAATTTTATCTCTGTAGATTCAGAAAATGACATCACTTTATAGATATAGTAAGACTACAGTTACAGGAAGGCTATTTCTTCCCAAATTATATTTTCTCTAAATTATCAAAAATTTTATCTAAATTATCACTCTTGCCATTTTTCTTCTTTCTCTCAACGTCCAGGTAATCAGTCCTTAATTAGCATAGTCTGATTCTCAGCTGGCTTTTGGGAATGGCATGGAATCTTAGCAAGCTGGTCATTGGTCCCTTCTTCTGCAGTCACTGCTGTGTCTTTCATGTGGTTTCTGCACAGAACAGCTGGAATGCAAAACAAGACAGCCTCTCCAAAGGAGAGGACAGTTTGTAGGTAGCAGCCCTACCCAAAGATTCTCGAGCTTTTATGTCAATATGTGCACGTCAAATCCCCATTCACACTAACACCGATGGAGAACAAGTCCGCTGAACTTCTTTCTAACCAATATCACGGAGCTGAGCTTCATGGTGTACAAAATACTTCCCTACATGTCTCACTCTGATCCTCACTGCAACCTGGAGATGGGCATTCAATTCTCATTTTACCCATGGACAAACTGAGGTTCAGAGAGGTTAGGGAAGCAGAGCAAGTTGACACACCTATCAAGCAAAAGAATCAGCACTCACTAGATCCAGATCTCTGCTGCCCCATTCTCCCCCTTTTTCCTGCACAAACATTGTGAAAGAGGTTTCTAGTCTTCTCCTCCAGACACAAATGGCATTCAGTCCACACACAGCCTGGACAGACCTCATGGGTAAACATGGGTAAAAGGACAACGGATGAAACTAATTGTCACAGTCCAATGTGGGACGGAGTGGGGATTTTTGTGGATACCAAAGAACGCTTCCCTCAGTGCTGGACCTCAGTGCTGGACGTGCTGGATGATGCCTCTCACTGGGCTTCCCAGGTCACAGCTAAGGTGCCAAGGATTTGACTTGCAAATTAAGCTTGATGCTGCCCATCCTATTCATCTTTCACATTTTGCCAGGGTTCTGTGCCTTCCTACCCTACCTCTTATGAGGAAAATTCAGGATTTTCCTCCGTCTTCCAATGTCCCTGGGAAGCCGTGTGGCACTTTGATCTCTTGAATTTTTCTGGGACTTTTCTGGGGGACATTTGCCATCTCACCAGTCAGGCCCAGTGTCTCTATGCATTTCTGGAGAGCTTCTGTTCCAATCAGGGGAGAGGAGATTAGCACCCCCATTCTACAAACATAGAAGCAAGATCTCCCAATCTTATCTGTTTTTTGACACAGAATCCAGTCTTGGAAAGCAAATGGTGGACTGTGTCCACAGTGCCCCCTACTGGAGATTTCCAGCCAGTGACGGTGTTTGCACAGCTTTAGCATTTTGAGGTGGGAGATCTCTGGAGTCAGACCACTGTCTTAATCCTTTATAAATATTAATTCATTTCACAGATGAGCAATCACTGGGTGATTGCTACAGAGATCACAACCAGGACAGACACCGTCTCGGCCTTCATATGACCCATCTCATATAGTGGGGTCTGTAGAACTGTCCCTTGGTTCCCAGATGGTCTGAGTAAGTGGGGGAACCCGACAAGACTTCTGCATTCTGGACATTCCACAATCATCCCATCACCTGCGGGAATTGCCTGAACTCTGCGAACCTTCCCAGGGTGGTACCTTAGTCCATCCCCATGCCCAGACAGGCCCAGCTCTGGTGGACCTTCCTCACTACAGGCCAGCTGGGATTCCTCTCCCTGGCTTCTCTCTTTCTTTAAGGATAATCTCATTTGTTCTAACTGACACATTCATTCTGGAATTCAGTAGTTATTTTCTCGACGTAAATGTTCAAGCATACGTTATGTCATGGATGACGTTAACTGAAGTAGAAATGTGTATATGCGGATGATAGCTCAAATAACTCAAAGAGAACTCGGTCTCCCAGATCACTGACTATTTACAAAGTTGGCCCTATTTCCACTCGGTCATTTTTCAGACATATCTTTACCTTGATGCTATGACTATGTGATCCCAATTCCAAATTCTCCTCTCTCTCTCTCTTTTTTTAATTGGCTTATGATTGCATCACATAACTATTCGTTCCACATAGTCTTCATAGTTGCCATACGTGAAAGCAGTAGCTCATTCCCCTAACAGACCACAATCTCCTGAGCTGTCACCCTCCAGCCGAGAAGCTTCCAGTTAATGACTCTAACACTGAAGGCAGCCACGAATGTCTTGGCGCTAATATTTTTTTCTATCAATTTTTTTTTCCAGAATATATTCCCCAAAGTGAAGTAAAGTATTCTTACAATCATTTCTGCTTTTTTTTTTTCACTTGGGTCAAATATTGCCAAATTGTTCTACAGGAAGTAATATTTATAGTGCCAAGAGTCTACCTATTTCTCCAGAATGTATTTTTGAAATTTGTTATTGACAAATACAAGTGGTTTTTATTACTTGCTGGGTGCATGGTCCATCTGGTTCTTTGTCCAAATCATTCTCTTAGTCATTTCATATACTGAGCTTCTTCTCATCAAATCAATCCTATATAGTTTTCTTATCTTATTGGTTTTCTTTGAATCTCTGTTATTCTTTGCTGTGAGCATATTTTTAATTTTTATATCACCAAAATTGTCCACCTGGACATTGATGATTCCCCCCATCGTTTCAATAAGAACTGTTCTCTCTGGAAAAGGATTTTCTTTTCCCTGACCCTAATACAACCCACTTTCCACCTGAATTTGTTCCAAATCCCTCTAGTTTTCATGCACATTCCACCGTCTGTGATCCCTACACGACAATTCCCTTCTCCGTCCACCTCTCCACAGCCCTGGCTAAACACATTCGCAGCCAACTCAACTACCTCAGCTCCATCACTGCCACCACACATAAAAAGGACCAGTGGCCACGGCTCACCTCTGACTGGATCCTTCCCTCGGGTTTTTGCACCTCCCTCCCATCCCCGTTGCTGAATTCTCAGGTTCCTAAGCTGGCCTGGCACCCACCCCAGTACCACCCTTGGCCGCCATATTGGCCTATGGAAAAGGACAAATTCCTTTACCTGTGTGTGCAGCCTAGCGAAGGCTGACGTCTCCTAAAGGGAATGTTGATGAATAATGAAGGGGAAACCAAAAAACAGACCCCGGGGAAATATAAAGAAAGCCTAACAGAAACGTTGCCTTGTGGAGATCTTACAACCCCACCAAGGCCTTGCCTCAGAATGGCTCTGGTGGTGGTGGGGGGGGGGCGTGGAGGGCTCCCCTTCTCTGATACCCAAACACTTTTTCCAAACAACTCTGCCAGGGACGCTTTCCTGGGAGCCTATTTCCTCCACAGGCTTTGAGACTAACACCTATGGCCTCTGCTTATATCTGCATCTGGGCCCACAGGAAGCCCATACCGTACTCTTCCGAGACAGCCTTCACTTCCCATGTCTGTCTGTGTCTGGCAAAGCAGGTCACTGTCATTTACTTCAAGATCTCAGGCCTCTTCTGACCCCAGCTCCTCCTGTGTCCCGCTGGCCGCAGCCCGTTCGTGACTCTATTTCATAATGCCCAGGTCTGGCCTAGTCTGGCTCCTTCTCGACTCAGACGGTGACCTCCGCCTCCCCAGGTCTCTCCCTCGGCCTCTCCGCCAGGAATGGTTTTGAAGAATACAAATCAGGACACCTCTATACAAATCTCAGAAACCTCAACCACACGGAAGCAGCCACACAGCAGCAGCAGTCACCCATGAAAGGAAGAGGTTCTATTGGCTTCTAGAACCTTCCCCGCCCCAGTACTTCTGAGAGCTATGCACGCACCACTACCCTTGGTCCCTGCACATCAGAAGAGGGGTTGGCAGTTTGGCATTCGTGCTGAAAAGCTGCCAACCACTGCCCTCTGGGGAAATGTCCTTGGCCACCATACCCCACGTGGCTCTACCCCCCACCCCCCGCCCACGGCCCCCCACCCCCATCTCAGCCCCTTTAATTGTCAGGAGAACGAACCCGAAAGACATGGATGGTCCCATTACTGAGGGACACCACCAGGTACCTGCCATCCACCATGGTGGTCACCCGGGGCTTTTCCAGACCGTGGTAGGCTGTCAGGAAGTCACCAAGAAGTGACCCCTTGGGATCCAGGATCACCACCTTGTTGACTTCTCGAAGGGTCAGAAAGATGTAGCCCTTCTTATCCACGGACAGGGAGCCCGGCTGGCAGCCGTGCAAGCCCGGCCCCTTGTATTCCCCAATCACCTGGCCCAGCCCGTCGCAGACCACCACGCTGTTCTGCTGCCAATCCGACCCCACAAAATGGCCCTGAGGGCTGGTGGTCAGGAACACCAGTGCCCGCTGGCCCCGGCTGGCCTTGCCCCCGGGGATGAACCGGGTGGCCAGGCTGCCTTCCATGTTATACACCTCCACGTGGCCTGCCACACTGACTGCCACCCGGTCCCCACTGGGCAGCGCGGCCACGGCATGGCTGGCCTGGGTGAGGCTCAGGGCCCGGCGCCACTGCACCTCACCATCAGGGCTGATGAGATAGAGGCGCGCGCCAGCCGAGAAGGCCACTGTGCTCTGCAGAGCGGCCACACTGCACGGGGAGCAGCCCTCAGGGACCGGCACGGTGCCCTTGTAGTCGCCGTTGAGCGAGAAGCGTTTCAGAGCCCTGTTCTGCTCATCTGCCACCAGGATTTCCCGGGGACCAAAGGGACAGAGCCCAGTGATGCGGGGAGACCGCCTGTCCCCAGGCATGCGGGTGGGGAAGCTGCAGAAAAAGATGGGTCTGGGGAGGAGGCCGGAGCCTTCCAGGTTTGGCCCCAGGGCGGGGCTGGGCTCCCGGGACATGGACTTGCCCCTGCCTTTGAACTTCCTCTTCTTGTTGGACCTGCAGCCCCTCTCGACCTGGACTCCTCCCTCTACTTGGCCTGGCTGGATACCGTCTCCTTTGGGGGCTTGGGCTCCATCTTCTTGGGGTGTCTTGGCTTTGTCCTCTTTGGAGGCCGGAGCTCCATCCTTACCCTGGGGCTGGCCTCCACCCTGCTGCTCGGCCTTGGCTCCATGCTCCCTCTGGCTCTGGGTTTCTTCCTCTCCCTGGGGTCCTGCTGCACCTCTCCCATCCTCCTGCGGGGGCTGCTCCTCCTCAAAAGAGAGCTGGAGCAGGTGGCAGTTTTTGTCCAGCAGCCCAGGGTAGAGTTCCAGCTGGGGCAGCAGGCAGGGCACTGGCCCCGGGCTCCAGGGGCTGCTCTGCAGCTGCCGGAGCCTCTGGGCAATGGCTCCCTCCAGGGAAAGGATCTCAGCCTCCCGACCCAGGCTGAGAACCCGCCGAGCAAAGGCAGCTGCCGCCCTGGCCACCTGCTCCCGGCCTTCTAGTTTGGCCAGCCTCTCCCGGGCAGCCTCTTCGGCAGCCTCCACGTGGGCCCGAAGCTGCCCCAGCACCTCCTGCTTCTGGGCCAGGAGGGCCCTGAGGACGCCCTCGGCTGCCTCCTCCACCTGAGTCCCCACCCTGGCAGCCTGCTCCCGCAGCCGGGTCAGCGCTTCCTTTTCGGCCACCCGAGTGGCTTCCAGCTCAACCAGGCTGCTGTCCACGCCGGCCAGAAGCTCCTCGAGGCCCGGCCTCCGGGCCCGCACTGCCTCAGCCAGGGGCAGGCAAGGGTGGTCCAGGTGGGGGTCCAGGCGGCACTCTCGGCACAGCAGCTGGGAGCAGGGCTGGCACAGGAAGCGCAGGGCCTCCCCTGGGTGCTGGGGACACTGGGCTGCTTGGCGCTCCCGGGCCTCCTCGTCGTACCACCCGGCCCTGTAGCCCACCAGGTCCACCACGCGATGGCTGTGGGTCTGGCGGGTGCAGCGGTGCCCGTCGGCACAGGCCTGACACAAGTCGTCGGCACAATCCAGGCATCGGGCTGTGGCCGGTCCCCCGGCACTGGTGCCCCCTACCAGGGGACACAGGGCACAGGCCGGCTTCCCTGCACGCAGGTCTCCGCAGGCCCGGGCCTTCACCAGGTCCAGGAGCCCATTGACGAAGAAGTTGGTCTTGAAGGCGGCCACCCCGGCGGGTGGCACGGGCACTGTCTCGCGGCACTCGGGGCAGCGGACGTGGCCGCCGTCGGCCAGCTGGGCCAGACAGTCCTGGCAGTAGGTGTGCAGGCAGGGCAGCGTCTTGGGTGTGTGCAGCTGCTCCAGGCAGATTTTGCAGGCCAGGAAGTCGCTGCTCAGGGCCTCCAGGAGGGAGGGCGAGGAGCCCTGGGAAAACATGCTGCAGACAGGGGCAGGGGCAGGGATGGAGTGGCCTCTCCACAGGGCCTCCAGCCCAGTCCCCCTTTCTTCCCACCCTCCAGCACCACAAAAATTCCCTGGCCTGGGGTCTCACCTGATGGTCAGGAATTTCCTTCTGGTTTCCTGGGGCCTTGGCCAGTGGTGGAGCTTGGGAGCCTCCCTCTTCCTCTTCCCTTTCCTCCTCCTCTTCCTCCCTAGATACATTCAGCAAATGTAAACAAGTCAGTGCTGGGGGTGGTGACAAGCCAGGAGAGGCCTCTCGGCCTCCCAGAGCAAAAATCGAATCATCCGTGTTCCAGGCGCCAGGCCTGGGGCAGGTGTGGTCCAAGCCCTCCCCGGTGACTCAGTCGGGGGTCTGCCTGGACTGGGTGCTGGGCAGGAGGGGCAGGCAGTGAGGACACAGGAGAGTTGGGTGAGCACAGGCACCTGGGTGCTGGCAGCTGGGGTAGGGACTTGCAGTGGGTCAAGGGCCCCAACTGCCCCCAGGACCATCCCCCAGGGAAAGGGGTCCCACTTCCTGCCCTTTTTCCTGAAATCCATTCTGGGACAGATCTCCGCCTGCTGGACCGCGGGATCTCCCCCGTCCTGACCTCCTCTCCTAGGGTCCTGCGTTCTAGAAACCTCTGAAGGGTGGGACTGTGAGCTCCCAGCACAGTGACAGAGAGGCCCTTCATGCTGGGACTTGGTGGCCTTTCCCCTTTGCCTACTGGTGGGTGGGAAGGGAGCTCCGAGAGTGGGAGGGGGTCTTTCTTGGGGGATCCTGAGCCCTCTGGCCATGGAGAGGAGGTGTGGGGACAGTGCTGCCTCCCAGCTACCCCCTCCTGCGGCCTTCCGGGTCCCTCTTTCCCTCTCTCCCCTGCCTTCCTCTTCCTCTGGAGCCTTCTCTCTCTCTCCCTCCCTCTGTCCCCCACTGACACGAACAGGACTGCAGCGAGGTCCCGTGATCGTCCCCAGGTGGTCCTTGATTTTCATCATATATTTTGCAGAAGACTCCTAACTTCTTCACCATCCTTATTCCTTCTGTTGGAGTTCTCCACTGGACCTTGCCTTCGAAAGCTCCCAGATCTAACTGGGGAATCCCTTCTTTCCAGGCACTAGCTATCCAATTAAACAACGTTTTTACCTCTAATGGCTCTTCCTTGATCATTCTCTGTAGTGCCTCCATTACTCCAGGATGGTCTATCTGAATGCTTACTATTTGCATCTCTCGTCCAGAGAGTCTAAGACTCTCTCCTCCCTTTGACCATATATTATACAAAAATTCTCCATCGGTTGACCCTTTCTGCGAGAAATCTTGTCTCAACTGCAACATTTCTGGTCGGGTTATATCCCTCGTTTCTATCGTCTGCTCCAACCCGTCTGGGCGTCCCCTTCCGGGCGTAGATGTTTTAATAATTGAGACCGGTTCTGACTTATAACATGGCTCATTATCTAGTATATCTTGTAGGAATGGGTTTTTACATTTCTTAAGAGCTTCCTGGACTAGGCGTTTTCCTCTAAGTCTGTCTTCATCTACATCGTTAATGATCTTACATAATATTCCCGGGATTTCATGTTTATCGGCCCTTTCTATTATAGGCTTTACTGTTTGTGGATTGCTTAACGCTATTTCCACGGTGGTTCCTTTTTGGAACTCAGGCATCTTTGCCTGAACTACCTTTTCTAGTGGCCGCCATGGCGACTGAGGCTTTAGCTCACTGTTCTCTAAACTTTTCTTTCTTATGGTGCACCTTTTTAATTTTGCTATTGCCTCACGTAGGCACATTTTACTATACTCAGATATATCCTAATCTTATATAAAGACCAATTCCACTGGATCCAGCTATATGTTTCTATATTGCCCAGGAGCCTACTTAAATTCTCTTCCCACTTTACTTGAGCCCAAGCTCCTATCCTTTCTTTACACCAGCTCATTCACTGGGGGCCGCCGTCACCATGAAGGATTAAGCGGGTGCGCTCCCCTCCTCACTCCGCTGGGTTCCCGGGTACTGGGAACTTCGGTCCACAAACGGAGGTAGGATTGCGAACATGCGTTTTGGGGAAAGCACTTACCCCCAGGTTCCTTGTGCGCTCTCCAGATCTTTGGTGATGATGATGGTGATGGTGATGATGATGATCCTGCCGACTACGCCAACTGACACGAGCAGGACTGCATCGAGGTCCCGTGATCGCCCCCAGGTGGTCCTGGAGTCAGGATCGCCTCTGCTCCAGGTAACCGCTCCCAGCCAACGATCCGTGTCCTGCACATGATATGCCTATTCAAATGCTCAGTTTATTCACACCAGGTTTCATCACATCACACGAGGCACAGGAACAGAGGCTGGCGGGGCTCAGTTCGCTCGATGTTGACCCACTGGCATCGTGGATCTGAACTGACCAAAGAGTTCAGCCTTCCTGGCCCTTAAATACTATAGTTGTTTACAACACTTCAAACCAAAACAAGTTTACGTCGTGGCTTCTATCTCTTATCCTATCCTCACAGATTATGTTTACACTGCATCACAACACGCTTATCCTAAACTACCACACTTGTTTGTGCTAAAATACATCAAAACATGTTTACCTTATGTCCTTATCTAACTCACACATATTTCTAACTTATGCACCCTTCTTCATCAAAACATGTTTACTTCAAATTCTCCTGTCAGTCTTGCATTCTAGAAACCTCTGAAGGGTGGGACTGTGAGCTCCCAGCACAGTGACAGAGAGGCCCTTCATGCTGGGACTTGGTGGCCTTTCCCCTTTGCCTA